TAATGGCTATATTTTGAGTTTTTTTGAAGGGAAAAATAAATTTACACTGCTATATAAGCTTTACACAGACTACTTTTCATTGTGTCAAAGCGATGTTTCTTCAGTGTTGTTCAATTAAACATTATAATGAAATCTCTGCAGTAATGTGAGGGGTGTACTCACTTTTGTGACATACTGTACTGTTGTCATTTTCCTTAACTGACAATAGGTGCTGGTTCTAAAACAACACACACCCTCCATTCAAAGTACGCCTGCAGTGATACTGCAATGATACTCACTTGTCTCTACCTGGCTGTAATTTAACCTGGAAAACACCGATGATGGGTCAATGGTCTGAGGTCTTGATGCTGGAGCAGCTGGTGTATTTGACCACTTGTATATCATCAGCCTGTCTGTTTCTGAACAGGATCTTGTCCTGGGGACACAGACAGAGACACCACATCAGCAGACAGACATCTACATATTGGTTGGGATTTCAAGCTTTTTCTTACATGCAGCACAGGCGCCCCCTGCTGGGCCTAGGCATCCCTTTAAATCCCCCCAGTTTTAGTGTAGTACATTGGGTTGAACTTGTTTGTTAGTAAAGACAGTATCTCTCAGGTGACCGTCTTTATGCGTAACTTCGATTTTGTCGACTAACTAAGTTATAACTAATACTTGATTTTTGTCAGTCTTTCGTCAGACCTTCTTTTTATAAAATAATAAGTAATGTGGGGCTACATTACAACAGGGAAATTTAATGACATGACAGTCACCCGAATGAAAGATGGGAAAATGGCAGGGACGAAGTTCAATCAGCGCCGATTATGTCATGGAAAATGAAGGAACAAATCAGACGAAGGGATGAAGCCAGAAGCGGGAACACTTGTTCACTCAGGAAATGGCGTGAACCAAACATGTTTGGTAGGGCTGATATATGAAGCTATTTTTACTGTTAACGACAACGAAAACAAGTCAATCTGTTAACCATAAGGGACGACAATTCTAGAAATTTACAGGACACATTTAAAGCGTCGTGNGACACATCATCCTGAGATTGACGCAAAGCTAAGCAGACGGAAACGTTTATATGGAAGCTAATATGGGAGCTAATATGGCTAAGGTATGACGTCAAATTCCACACGACTTCTTCTCAAAATTTTAATACAATATTGAATAATATTATATTATATTATAATAAACTCAAATCGTTAATAGAGAAGAATAAATTCTTATATAGATAATTTCAATAAATAATATTTATAATTAAACCATAATAACTAAAAAGACGTAGTTTCCTTTTAGAATAACATAAAAGGCCACTTCATTCTATAAACAGCGTTAAGTAAATTGTCAAAATACATCAAAATATTAAATATTGCATTTCAGTTGACTAAATCTAATTCAAATTTACTCACCTAAAATATTTTGATATTTTCTTGACTTAAATTACAATTGAAGTGTTCTATTGAATAAACTGAGACTATAATAAATAATATTATAGAATATATATATAGAATAAATCTAAAATGGCTGTCATCATTAACACCGAATTAACTATTATATTTTATGTCTTACTGTGTACGAGGGCGTCCTCTGTTTGGAGGTTGTGGCATATATGCCACAACCGATGTCAAACTTGTAGGTGGGGAAGAAGTGTATGGATGCCTTCTGGAAGCTTTTATATAGATTTTATATAGATTGAGCCTAAAATAGTATACGTTTTTTAATAAAACAAAAAAAATGCAACAATCTTTCTCTCAAAGTTTGAACAACAATATCTTACCATCCTTTAGCTCCATAGAAAGCTGATCGTGTTCCAACAGGACGCTCATGTCTCCTCCCTCTGTGCATTTCATCATGGCGTCCACATCACTTATACTCAGATGGAAGTTAAAGTCACCAAACTAGAATACTTGGTTGAATCTCGTGGTGACATCGGCTACAATTAAAATCGGTCAAAGATTTACAGTATCAGCAACGTTGACTCAAACATATATTTGCTACTAATGAAAGATCACTTTTTTTAAAATGTTTTTAAGTTTGATCTAACTTTCAAAATATTTTTCAAGCTACTGTAGAAAGTATACAGATCAACCTTACACAGATGCCTAAAAATTCACAATTTAAGGAAATCCTGGCAGTGAAAGCAAACTTGTCTTCAATTGTCCTAAAATAGTCTTACACGGTGTTGATCGATACGGATTTGTATCTGGGAGACTTTTTGGAAGAGCCAGAGCCTTGATGATTTTGTTGTAATCTAGGATTCTCTCATAGACTTTAGCATCTCCAGCTGTGGACAGAACAGAGGAAAACAGGAATATTTAAAGCTTTGCTGTTCCTATTGTTATTTTTCATATAATGTTTTATTTCCATTATTCCTTTTTTTACCCACAGGTAAAATGGGATATAATAAAGAGGAAGGAAGTTCCAAAGAAGATAAACGTGACCCCAACAGCTCCGTTGGTTTTGATCTGGGAGATAATCCTGGTTGTTACTGTAGCAAACTCTACTTCTGTGTGAGACAGAAAAAAAAGAGACAACTTGGGAAACATAGTAATGTTTAATATCTGTGTTAGGACTAATTAATCTAAATGAAGGTTAAAACTTAAAAACTTTTGGTGTTATAGCTAACGGTCTGAATGTTTTAAAACATTTTAAAAATCACTGATATCGTAATCTCCTACTGACCAGAACAGAACTAGATGAGGTCTCTCCGCACAAACACAGTGAGATACACAACACCATGTGATGATCCGTACAGCATGACATAATAAGGCCCCAGTGTTTCCTGGAGACGGGTCTCACATTCTCTTCTGCACACACACAGAAATGTAGTGTGAAACAGTTTAGCCACATTTAAAGTCTTTGGTAATAAATTATAATTTATAAAGTATACTGTACCTGTCAGGACAGCCCTCCTGAACCCCAATAATATAAAAGTCTTGTGCAGTATCAGAGTCTGTAGGAAGGAGGAGTCGTCCAGGTTGACTGGCAGCCCCTGGAAACAGAAACTTCCGTTTAGTCTCACAGGTTGCCTTAACGCTACATGTGAATTTCTTAAATGTAAGAAATGTCTTGTACTTTTTCTCACTGCATGTACCACGTGACGATGTAAATGCTCAGTTTCCTGTCTGGAAAGTAGCGGTCCAGTTCCTCAGCTCCCAGCAGAGCGCCCCTTCCCATGAGGCTACCCTCTAAAAAACTCCTGGAAGCCAAGATGGAAATGAAGTAGGTATTTTCAAGTTGATTAGAAAGTCGGTGATTGTCAGAGGACTCAATGTGGCCTACGGGCGGTACAATGGCCATGACATGATCTAATATTTTTATGAAGAACAATATATTGTCGCTATGTTGGTGAAGCTTCACCAGAAAGTAAAAACCAACACCAAACACAGAGGAAAATAATAATAACATTAATAATAGTTACTATTATTATACTGACCCCATTTAACACTGTTCTAATACAGAAGCATTTTTTTGGTGGACACAAGGACAATTTTTTTTATTCCTCGCACTGGTTGTACGCACTCCTGATTATCTGCATTTGCAACAAAATGTCTGCAAACAATGACTAAAATAAGATCTAAATCAGGTTATTTTTTATTGTTAACATCTAGTTATGGATTCAAGACAACTACAGACAGCCTTGATTTAGTATTATACTTCACACCTTGCCTGTATAAATCCCCAGGTCCATTATCAATAATCAATGCTTACTGTACCTGTTCCGCACATCCTGAGGTCTGATGGGGCTGAGCACACTGTAGGTAGATCTCAGAGAGTTGACGGAGGCATTATCAAAGCCCATGTTCTCCAGAAGCCGGCTGTCACTCAGATTCCGGTGGAGTCTTTCCCTGAGCTTCTCTCTGGCCAACACGGCATAATCCAAACAATCCCTGTCAATCCTTTTAGCAGCCTTTATAGTAGCTGACACAAAGCTTTTCTCCAGAGAAGAGGATTTTTCTACCATTGTAAAAATAATAATAATAATAATAATAAAAACTCACATTTCAATCACAGCTCTCATATTCACATGTCCTTCACAGATCATCTTCTACGAGGACAGGAACTTCCAGGGCCGTTCCTACGAGTGCATGAGTGACTGCCCTGACATGTCCTCCTACCTGAACAGGTGCCACTCCTGCAGGGTGGAGAGAGGCTGCTTCGTGTTCTATGACCGCACCAACTACATGGGCAACCAGTACTTCATGAGGAGGGGAGAGTACACTGACTACATGAGCATGATGGGCATGAGCGACTGCATCAGGCCGTATGATCCCCATGAGACCTGACACTTGGACAGACGTGTGCACTTCTGTTACAGTTGGATTTGAATGCTAGTTTCAACGCTAGGAAATGTAACCCACCTTTATCTCCTGCCCCGCAGTACAGAGGAAACTACAGAATGAGGATTTACGAGAGGGAGAACTTCGGAGGCCAGATGACTCAGCTGATGGACGACTGTGACAACATCATGGACTGTTTCTGCATGTCCAACTGCATGTCCTGCAACGTGATGGATGGACACTGGCTGATGTACGAACAGCCCCACTACAGAGGCAGGATGATGTACTTCAGGCCTGGAGAGTACAGGAACTTCATGAACTATGGCATGAGCGACATGAGGTTCATGAGCATGAGGCACATCACTGACTCCTGCTATTAGACTCTTTGCACTAAATAAAACTGTCACAACCTGAACCTGAGCACCACTGGTCCTTTATTTCACCTGTGTTTTGTAGCTGTTTAATGTTAATATATTTAAATTTCTTTTTTTGTTTTTATCTAAATCTATTACCTTTATTTTAGTCCACCATTATATAATTAGTAATATAAATAAATAAAAGACCACTCAATATTTGCTATTGGCCTTAACCAGAAAATGCTAATATAACAGAACTGACATATAGAAGAGAATGTTTTGTTATTCAGAACGAAATTTCATTGCAACGGCCCTAAAATAATAAAAGTACATTCTGTGAAATAAATACTAACAACAATAATCACCAACATCAAATATTTTACAAAATTGAAATGTATATATATCAATGACTAATGGCGTTCACTAATAGTAGTGACATATGTCCAAGGCAGGATCAAGGTCAGTGACTACAGGGAGTGCAGAATTATTAGGCAAGTTGTATTTTTGAGGATTAATTTTATTATTGAACAACAACCATGTTCTTAATGAACCCGAAAGACTCATTAATATCAAAGCTGAAAGTTTTTGGGAGTTGGAGTGGGGGTTTTTTAGTTTTAGCTATTTTAGGAGGATATCTGTGTGTGCAGGTGACTATTACTGTGCATAACTATTAGGCAACTTAACAAAAAACAAATATATACCCATTTCAATTATTTATTTTCACCAGGGAAACCAATATAACAGCTCAACATTCACAAATATACATTTCTGACATTCAAAAACAAATCAGTGACCAATATAGCCACCTTTCTTTGCAAGGACACTCAAAAGCCTGCCATCCATGGATTCTGTCAGTGTTTTGATCTGTTCACGATCAACATTGCGTGCAGCAGCAACCACAGCCTCCCAGACACTGTTCAGAGAGGTGTACTGTTTTCCCTCCTTGTAAATCTCACATTTGATGAGGGACCACAGGTTCTCTATGGGGTTCAGATCAGGTGAACAAGGAGGCCATGTCATTAGTTTTTCTTCTTTTAGGCCCTTTCTTGCCAGCCACGCTGTGGAGTACTTGGATGCGTGTGATGGAGCATTGTCCTGCATGAAAATCATGTTTTTCTTGAAGGATGCGGACTTCTTCCTGTACCACTGCTTGAAGAAGGTGTCTTCCAGAAACTGGCAGTAGGACTGGGAGTTGAGCTTGACTCCATCCTCAACCCAAAAAGGCCCCACAAGCTCATCTTTGATGATACCAGCCCATACCAGTCCCCCACCTCCACCTTGCTGGCGTCTGAGTCGGACTAGAGCTCTCTGCCCTTTACCGATCCAGCCACGGGCCCATCCATCTGGCCCATCAAGACTCACTCTCATTTCATCAGTCCATAAAACCTTAGAAAAATCAGTCTTGAGATATTTCTTGGCCCAGTCTTGACGTTTCAGCTTGTGTGTCTTGTTCAGTGGTGGTCGTTTTTCAGCCTTTCTTACCTTGGCCATGTCTCTGAGTATTGCACACCTTGTGCTTTTGGGCACTCCAGTGATGTTGCAGCTCTGAAATATGGCAAAACTGGTGGCAAGTGGCATCTTGGCAGCTGCACTCTTGACTTTTCTCAGTTCATGGGCAGTTATTTTGCGCCTTGGTTTTTCCACACGCTTCTTGCGACCCTGTTGACTATTTTGAATGAAACGCTTGATTGTTCGATGATCACGCTTCAGAAGCTTGGCAATTTTAAGAGTGCTGCATC